CACTATCATTGTTACACTCATGGTTTTTTTTAACGAACCATCCGTGGGATTACATCAAACATATAATCAAAGCTAAAACATGTGTTTAGCTTCTAATGTAGAATGGTTAAAAACTTTAATCAACATCAAAAGGTTTTGTATAGAGCTAGTACTCTAACACGACAAAATTTAATATAAATCATCATCATCACTAAGGAGAAGAGCAATTATGTTTTGGTAAATTTTAAAATAAGACTGTCAAAGACAAATTGGATGAATCAATACTTAAGACCGTTGATAATAGGATTTGATTATTTTATCGTTAATCTGCAATTTCTATTAAGAAAAATATATATGAAAAACCTAAAAACATCGAACAATAAAACAATTAATTCATATGAAGATGAGAATAGACGTCTAAGCCATTCTGTTCTTATGCGATAGTACTAATAAGAACAGAAAAAATGGCTTTTGGTTAAAATCATAAATACTTTGAAACATTCTTTCGTAAGCCACATTCTCACACAAAACACAAGTTAAAATGAAACAAAACAACCGTTTCCAAATAAAGCCACATATCATTTTGCACTTTTTTGTTTTTGATCAACTTTTTCTGTGCCTTTACTCGAACTCAAGAGGTGGAGCATAGCCCACAGACCAATTGAGCTAAACGAGCTGGCTCATTTTGCACTTCTATTCTTCTTCCTCTTTGATACAACTATAATTACGTTGTCCTCGTGATCGATATTCACTTCTTCTTATTTGATTCGTTCAGTTTTGCTTCAACTATGGTTTGAGCAATGAAAATATGGGTGGAGGTGAGAGTGCACTATGTCCAGTAATTGAGAGCTTCGAGATTCCAAACCAAACCCAATCATAGAGTCTACACGTATGTCAACTGAGATACTAATTAGACACATATTTGCTTCCTAGAACGTAAACGTAGCTTTGGATAATTGTCTTTGTATATGGTTGGAGCTCTTATACCATGCATGTTATAACATGCAATCTGGAAAAGAATAAAAACACACAGAAGCATGATGCTTGCATACTAACGTTTTCTTCAATATTCAAAACCATAAATGGGATCACAATTTTTGCATTTTCAGGTAAAAATTGGTTAACACAGCTAAACATTATCCTTTGTATATATGGCATGTTTTGTATTCTCCGAAGTAACAGAGAGAATGAGCCACCATGTCGATATCAAAGACCAATCTTAAAAAGGAGTCAAGAAAGAAGAAGGAAACCATTATTAACCCAAAATATGTTTTTGTGCTTGTGGTATTTGTTAGCAAAAACTACTTTAGCTTCTCTGAATGTTTCCTTGATGTATGTAACTTAATTATGGTTTTATTGAAATTGGTTTGATTAAAAGAAACATTTGTCTTTTTGGATAGATTTCTTTGCAACGTATATGAAAAAAGTAGATTTTAGATAGCACTATGAAAATGTTGTAATCTAAAGCTCTGTACAGTAGATCTTATGTAATACAGATATATCATCACCACATTATATAATCTAATATAAGGTCATCTTTATCCATGAACTTTTGAGGATATCATTAAATATAAAATTATTAAAAACACACTCTTTCTTCCATTTACTTAACTTTATACCTTTTCTTTCATCCTTTTACTCAACTTTTATTAATTTTATACTCTCTTTAAATATAAAATTATTAAAAACACATTCTTTCTCTCTTCAAAAGTATCAACTATTTGATACTTTTGATACTCTCTCTTTCCAAAAATACCCTCTCTTTCTTCCTTTTACTCAAATTTTAATAATTTTATATTTAATGATACCCACCAAAATTCACCAATACGGATGTTCTAAGTCATCTAAAATTTATAACTCCACTGGCTACACTCATCTAAGTAGGTATGATATAAAATTATATGATTTTTCGTCTTTAACTTTAACTTCATTAAAAAAATAAACTTCATTATTATTTTTCGTTTCTTTCTTCGGCAAGGGTATTTTAAGTGATAGAAGTCCTTAGACCATCATTATTGATGATCTTTGGTGGGTATCATTAGATATAAAATTATTAAAACACACATTCTCTCTTCTTTTTACTCAACTTTATACTTTTTCTTTCATCCTTTTATTCAACTTTTATTAATTTTATATTTAAACACACCCCAACTGTTTAAACTCTCTCCAAAAGTATCAACCCATTGATACAAAGACACTCTCTTTCCAAAAGTATCAACTCATCTCCTCTTTTTACTCAAATTTTATTAATTTTATATTTCAATACACTCCATTATTTCAACCAAAAACACTCTCTTTCTTCTTTTTACTCAAATTTTAATAATTTTATATTTAATGATACCCACAAAAGATCATCAATAATGATGCTCTTAGGCCTTCTC